TTAAAGTACTTAATTTAAACTATTAAATAAGAGTGGATGCTTTGATATTAAAGACTATCTTTCATCCAATGCTTTTTATTTTGCAGTACAATATAGTCCATACTACAAAACTATATTCCCTTTATATTTTATTAAAAGGGCTTTTCTAACGGACATATTTTTGTTATAAATGTATATAAAAATATAAAAATTGATATTAATTTTAGTGTTGATGCCAAGTAAATGAATTTAATTAAACAATTAGTAAATTAAATATCAATTTTTACATTTTCAATATGAATTATAGTAAAAAGATATATTTATTACATTCTAAAAATACAAGTTAAAAAAATCGATATTTAAAATATTACACACATGATAGTTTATGACATGGTTGGTTTCATTGTAATGCTTTCAATGTCATGTTGTTAAGGTTTTATATTGAGTTTTAAATTTTGGAATGTTCTAACCCCATGCTCTTATTATACATGTTAACAGTACATTTATTATATTTTTTGCTATTAATTTATAAAAAAATAAAAATTAATTTTAATTTTATTAACTATCTAATTTAAAATATTTCACATAACATTAGCGTTAAAAATAAAGTTTATTTTTATAATTTTTTATATAAATTAATAATAAAAAATATAATAAATACACTCTTAAAGTGAATAAACTCTTAAATTTTTTAGTGTTTAGTTTTAAAATGTAACTTGTGATGGTTTAAAGTTTAGTTTCAAATATTTTAAATTATTATGCAGAGACTGGCAAAGTTATTGGCCACACCCATGTTTATAAATGCCACACATTTTTTATTTATTTGTATATTTACCCCTAATTAACTGTTTATTTTCTTTCTTGATTTCTGATGAAAAAAATCAAAAATCAAATTGAGAAGAAAAAAAGGGGTGAAAGTTTGCATCTTCTCCCTGACTGCCTCCTCTTTCTTTTGTCATTCCTCCATTCTCCTTTTAAACTTGCTTCTCATTGTTTGGCCTGTGTTAGAAAATAGTATTGGAATAGCAAGGGAAACCAAAGGAGTTATGAGGCGTGATATCACTATTCTAAAGACATTAAAATATCCGTAAGATACGACATAAGTCAGAAAATCTTTCAATCTTACTAATGTGAAAGAATGACTAATTGATGCCCATTTGCAAATGACTAAGGCCCCTCTTTTATAGTGAATGAAGTCAATGAACAGGCATTCTTATCGGACGCAAATTGTCTAAGGAACACAACAAATTCAAACCAATAGACACCATTTGATACTTATTTCAAAAGGCACCTTTTTAATGCTTTGATCATCTTTATTGAGATCAAGACGCTTGGCCAATTAATGCCTTTGATCCTTTATGATCATGCCATGTGATCATGTCTCTTGCAATCTCATCCAGTCGGACATGTCTCTTTGGTTTCTTTTGTTTATCTTTTAGCTTGCAATTTTTTGTAATTAACCCGTTAATATTTTAAGTATTTCTAAACTATCCAACAATCTTCCACTAGTTAAAAGTACATTAATAATTTCATTCCTTTCATGCGATAAATAATATACATAAAAAATATATCTTTTGATTTGAACCTTTTATAGTGTTTGTATCTTTATATCTAACAAAATTGTTGGCCTTTGAGGATTAAACCACAATTCTTCATATTATTATTCTAAAAATACAACACACATAATACTTGTTGTTATGTGCCAAGAGGTTTATAACCCTTTTAGCACAGTTACGGCCATGTGCTTATCATGGTAATGATGGTCATTTACAAAAGAATCTAACGTCTTCTTGTTGAAGCAGCACCACTATAATAACCATTTAGATGAAGTTTTTTATTTGTCACTATTACTATAGACATTTAGTAATTAACAACTCCATTAAAAATTCCATTTAGAGTATACATTCATCCCCCAAACACAATAAATAGCACTTATCTAATTTAGTATTTAGGAAGAAGGCTTCAAGTTCTAAACAGGAATGTGAAGTAATTTGTTATTACTCATTACACTTTGATTTTAGAGATTACTAAACTAAAGTTGGATTTCCATTACTAAGGCCAAATACATTTAAATTTATTTTGATCCTTCAATTTTTTAAATTTATTTTTCAGTCTTAAATTTTATTTAAAATTTAATTTAAAGTTCAATATTTAGGGTTTATGGTTTAATTTTTATAGAATTTAAGGTTTAGCATGTTAATGTTGAGTTTTTTTAATTTGTGCCTTTAGAGTACATATTACGAGTGCAATTAATATACATTTTTAACATTAATTGATATTGAAAAAATGTTAACTTTTATTTGATCAAAAATCTAATTAAAATAATTTAAATGATATTATTGGTGAAATCAATGTTAATATTTGTATTTTACAATATTAATCAATGTTAAAAAGGTACATTAATTTTATTTTTAATCTATATTTTAAGAGTATAAGTTAGAAAAACCCTATAAAGTTTATGGTTTAGGGTTTATATTTTTAGAGTTTAAGGTTTATATTATCAAAATTTAAGGCTTAGTATCTAAGTTTTAGGATTTATATTATTAGACTTTAGGGTTTAATTGGGTTCGTACTTTAGGTTTTATGATTTAATATTTAGAGTAAAGCATTTATTAGTTAGATTTTTAAAAAATAAAGAGGAAAAACATCTAAAAATTATGTCAATTCATTAAAACTCTCACAAAAAAAACTAAAGTAACTTATTTTTAAATAAAAAATAAGATTATTTTAATTTTCTGATAATACTTTAATAAAAAAAATATTTTTGTAATATTTTTCCTCCTATATTTTTAAAAGTGTGGTTAATAAACACTAAGATCTAATATTTTAGATTAGAGTTGAAAAGTTTAAAGTTTTAGAATTT